CTCTCCGGCCAACCACGGAATTGCTCTGGGAAACCTCGTAGTTGGGTCGGCAATAGTCATCCACTTTGGCCCTCCGGTACTGCAGCTCGTGCTTATCCCGGTTGAAAGCCTCCGCAATCCCCTTCCCCAACGCCGAGACGGCCTCGTACTCCCCGCGGGCGCTGTCGAAGCGGAGGATCTCCTGCCGGCCGTAGAAGTTCCTGTGCAGGAACCGCACCCGCCGCGTCCCGTTGAGGAAATGGCACTCGTGCTTCGTCTGGTACAGGAAATGGGCTGCGGGGAGGAGGAGGAGGAGGAGGAGGAAGGGCGTCAGGAGGGACTCCAGAGCCCATGGTTCCCAGCCTCTCCTAGAGGGGGGACCCAGGCTTGTCAGAGGAGGGGAGGGAGACCTGCCACAAGGGGCTGCCGGAAGACGCCCCCTGGAGGACGGATGGGGAACCGTCGGTCCCAGCGGGATCCCCCCTTGGTGGGGGTCGGGGGAGGGGAGGAAAATAAGGGAGGGGGGTAACTTCTTGAGGGACCCCCCCCCATCTTCCCAGAGTGGAAACAGGCAGGCAGAAGTTCAGCTGGTCCAGCACTCGGCCTAACACTGTAGGAAATGTTAGATCCCGGTGGGGCCTCTTTTCCCCCCAAAGTGGCAGGAAATATGGGGGGAGGGAAGAGACCCCCCCTCTGGGCTGGAAGAAAAGGAATATCCGTACTTCTTTCTTCCTCTCCCTTTCGGGGGCATAAGGAGCGGGGGTCACAATAAGGATACCCACACCCATGCTCCTGGGCTCTCCCCGCCCTTCAAGCCCCGCCTTCCCTTTTCCTCTTCCCCCCCCTCGCCCCCATCTTCACAACCCACAAGCTGTCTTTGGATGCTTTTCGAGGCGTCTTTCCACTCCCCCGCCCAAATAGACCCCCCTGAAGCCCCCCAAGACCCTCTCAAAAGAAGGGGCTCCAGCCCCCTTCGCTAAAGGGATAATTTTGGGGAGCCAATTTAGGGGAGCAATTCAGACCTCACCCAACATCTTTCTCCCTCAGTTCCCCCCAGCAATGGGGGAATATGGAGTGGGGGGTTCTGGGTCTCCTCCCCAAATTCAGAGT